CATGGGGTCGCAAAGAGTCGGACGCCACTGAGCAACTTTCACTTTACAACACTATACGATTAAGATTCCAGTGGAAATCTAGACAGTCATGTATGTAAACATGTTCACTTATTGTGGGTTAATTCTTTTCCATTTTCACAAAAGTTTCTGAATCCAGGTTTATGATTCCACAGAAGTGTTGGTGACTGTAGTTGGAGCTAAAGGCTTTCTTCCACTGAAAACCTTCAGTCTTCCTTTTCCTTTGTTTTCATTAAATCTGGGAGTTCAAGGTATTTGACAAGTAATCTATTTACTTCCTTGTTTCAATTATTTTGTTGTATATTTTTCTAAGCTAACTTAAATTCTTTTAAGAAGGTGGAACATAAATATAGCAATTAATTATTCCATTAACAAAATGAGTAGCCCCAGGTCCATTTACCTGCTTCCTCAATCATTTCCTGGATTGGTTAATCCATGAGAAAATGTGCACAATGCCTGAAAAAAAAAAAACTTTGTCCTGTTCTTCTGAACCACCAAAATGAATAGTTTGTTGAGAAATTAAAAAACCTAATCAAATCTAAGCTATTAATCCATTTTATGCCTCTTGAGGGGTTACCTGAGATGTTGAGTGAACACTTGTTTTATTTCCACTAATAAAGAGGTCCAGAGGCTCTCCTTGGAAGGGCCGGAGGCAGGACCCATGAGCAAAGGACCAAAGAGGTTTGCAGGCTCCAACCACCGAGCTGGAGGCAGAGGCCCCTGGCTGGACCAGGATCCCATTTCTGTGTGCAGAAAGCAGAGCCAGGCACCAGACCAGGGCCTGAGGTATCAGCTGAGAGCTGAGTCTGTCCTTGTACAACGAGGCACATGGTTTCTACGATCTAAGGAGTCTGCAGAGCTGTATCTCTCCACAGGTGGGAAGGTTCCCCTTTAAATGTGTGAGGTACCCCAGAACTGTTGCTGTTATTATTATTACTTATTTTTTAAACACCAAGTGGGTTAGGATCTGACTACTAGTGATCACCAAGGTTGTTAAACTAGAGGTCTGTTATGTAGGGCTGGGTATTTGCCTGTGTCTCCCAGGAAGGGTGTGTCCCCAGTCCTGTAGGAGAGAAATTCCTTTTCTTCTGGCTAGACAGTGCAACTTTCCTGAGCAGGAGAGAACTCATTCAGGCACAGAGAAACCATTAGCTGGCGCTCTGATGCAGCGTGGTGTCCAACTCCCCAGGAACCGTCAGAAATCAGGCTTTCCGGAGCCTATCTTTTGTGATCCAGGGCACTCTTCTACCTAAAGATTAAAGGGCATGTGATCTGGGCTTGCATTGTAGCCTCTGATTTAAGAAACTTTTCCCATGATCTTTTCCTACTTTCCTTTTAAATGCCCTTCTTTACATCACTGATGGTGATTAAAGATAAATATTTGGACTTATTACATATTATTTCTAATGCTGGAGAAAAGCATTAGAAAAGTCTTCTATGCAGAGGTGCTCAATTTTTTTGGCCTCAGAATGCCTATACACTCTTAAAAATTATTATAGACATGGAAGAGCTTTGGTTGATATGTACTGATTTGTGTTGATATGTCCGTATCTGCTATTTTAGAAATTTAAATGAAAACCTTAAAAGTACTTATTAATCAACTGAGGGATAGTAATAATAAACATGCTATGTATTAACTACAATTTTTATGAAAATAACCATTTAAAGAAGTTTAACAAAAGGTAATGAGAAGAGTCATATTGCTCTATAATTTTTGCAAATTTTTAATATCTGGCTTAATAGAAGATAGTTGGATTCTCATATTTGCTTCCTCATTCTGTCTATTGTGATATCACAAGTCATGTAGCTTCTAGAAAACTCCACTCATGAGAAAATGAGAGTGCAAAAGGCAAAAAATAGCAGTATTATGAAAGTAGCTTGGACTCTGCAAATCCCCTGAAAAGGTCTTGGCACCCACTTCAGGGTCCCAGGCTACACTTTGAGAACCAACTGACTACTGTGTATTGTCCTTTCTCTAATACAAAGGAGATAAAAGAAACAAGTCCTTTGGAATATTTGATTTTATTGAGCCATCCATTTTTGAATAGTGCAGATCATCCAATTTATCCAAACCCTAGTGTTTATTTAGGTCTTTTCATGCGGGACTCATTTTCACCAAGTCCACCTTCCTAACTTTGAAATAACCAATGTATGCCTCAGGTTCTCAGAGCCTCCAACACACAAATGACTCTCTTAGTTCTAGCTTTAAACTCTTGGGAAAGAGCTCTCTTGGTTCACCTAAGGCCATTCCACTCTGGTTAAAGATTAGGGTCAGGATTTAAGAATATGATTGCTTTGTTTGAATCAAGACCAAAGGACCATGGTCAAGGTCTTGAGGTGACACTGAACCACAATTCAGTATGTAGAAGTTGTTTGAGATCTGAGTCTAAGGCATGTGTGTACTTGTGTGTGCTTTGTATGAGAGGATTAAGAGAAGTGGGACAAATTTAGATTCTCCTGTTTAATGATTTATTTAAACTGCCCTCAACATCCTCTCTTATTGACCCCTCTGTTGTCCCACTTTTCTAGACTCAGCAGCAGGAATGCTTCTGTTCCCTTCATTCATTTAAAAACTTCAAAGGACATTCACTCACTAATATCCTGTTGATGGCAGCTATTGACTTCCAGGAAAGGAGTTCCTGGAATTCATAACTGCAAGAGTAAAACAAAGCAAGGGGCATAGTCTTGAGCAACCCCAGCCCCGCGGGGCTGTTCAAGAGTGTCTAGGGGACTTTGCTGTTATCAGTCAATCTTTCCTTGCCATCTGTGCCTTTTGTTTATAATGCAGTTGATTAAAATCTCCTGTATTTAACCTAGCTATTTCAAGTTCAATAATAAGGGGAAATTAGCTCCAGGATTTCCATGATAGTCATTTGTGTTTAACTTCAATGGTCAGAACCCAAGTAGAATTTTTCATTCTGTATCTGCTCTGCTGCTTGTTCTATGTTGCTGCTTAAAGCTTATGGACATCTTTATCTGCTGCAAGGGCTTCTGGCAAATGAGTCTAGACTCAAAGATCAAATACAAACATTATACAACTCAGAGGGCTAAATTAAGCCAGTTAACCGCTAACAAAGCTTAACTTGAGCTGGTGAAAGTGAGGAACGAAAATAATGCTTTCATATTAGTATAGTACATATAAACTGACGTCCAGAGAAACTTCTCCTAAACTACTTCATTGATGAGGAAGAGTCACTGTTGACATTTATTGACCTGGCTCTCAGTTGGGATGGAGGAAGTAGGTATTGTCACTATCATCATTCCATGAGGAAACTGAGGCTGGCAAAGGTCAGGTAGTTTGCCCAGACTAATTAATTAGTAAGTCGTTAGTTGAAAACTTGCTTCCAAACTGTCTGATCAGTTAACTGCTGCACTATTCTGAAGTAGCTAGGGTGAATGAAGGCATTCCAAGCAATGATGTTCCACCATATTTTATGGTACCAACCAGGGAAAGCTTGTCTCTTCCCTCCCAGCCCACCTTACCGGTCCCAAGCCCTCCAACTCCCAGTAGAGGATAAGCTCTGTGAGGACAGGAGCTTTGTCTATCTTTTTCTCTGTAGAAGCCCCAGTGCCCGGACAGGCAGACATGCTCAGTAAATGCCTACAATGAATGAGTGAGTGAATGAACAAATGAATGAATACATGAACAAATAACTGGAACTGCCACATGGGATACTAATTTCTGATTTATTCCCAGGTGGTGCTAGTGGTAAAGAACCTGCCTACCAATGCAGGAGATGCAGGAGACAGGTTCATTCACTGGATCAGGAAGATCCCCTGGAGGAGGACATGGCAATCCACTCCAGTACTTTTGCCTGGAGAATTCCCATGGACAGAGGAGCCTGGTGGGCTCTGGTCCATGGGATCACAAAGAATCAGACATGACTGAAGTGACATAGCATGCATGCATGTCTCAGGCCAGACAGTAGCTTCTCATATTACTCTTCCCAGAAGAAGGCAGGTTTTCATTATTGGGAGAAACTCAAGCTTGGTATCAATGCCAGTTTTTTCCTCTACAAACGAATACATTTTATTTAGTTCCCAAATAGTTACTGAGTTCCTGCTGGGTACTGTGCTCAGTGCTGAGGTTATAAAAGTGCTCAAGACTCAGTCCACGTTCTCACAGAATATATAGCCCACTGGGGGGTGGTGCAGCCGCAAATGGGCAATTACAAATCAGTATGATGAATGTTATGGTGGTTCAGCTGGTAAAGAATCTGCCTGCAATGCAGGAGAGTCAGGTTCAATCCCTGGGTGAGAAAGATCCCCTGGAGAAGGAAATGGCCACCCACTCCAGTATTCTCACCTGGAAAATCCCATGGACGGAGGAGCCTAGCAGGCTACAGCTCATGAGGTCGCAAAGAGTCGGACACGACTTAGTGACTAAACCACCATGATGCGTGTGAGATGGGCAAGTTGTGGTGCTCTAGGAGATTCATGGAGGAGTGCACTCAACCAGAGGCAAGGGTGATGGAGAGGAGGCAATCTGAGAAAGCTTCCAGGAACTAGTGACCTGAAGATAAATAGGGATTGAGCAGGGGAATTGTCCAGTCATGGGTTAAATAAAAATAGGTTTTTAACACCACAACTTGTCACCTTTGAAGAATACATCTCGTCTACATTTTGAGTGTTATCCCGAAAGAACTCTTTAGCAATTAAACAACATCTCCATTCAACATCAGAATGGAATTGGGAATGAAGACATTCTGACAGTTATGTGTTAAACAATTCTGCTGTTGAACAGGTGTGTGGTGCCTTTTGTTCACAAAGGTGAGGGGTTGGCACAGTCTCACAATGGCCCCATTGTCAGAATGGCTCTTGGATGTGTGATAGCCACATCCAGAACGGCTAGACCCTGGTTTCAGGGTGGGGCAGAGCACACTGGAAGGGAGGGAGCCCAGAAGCTGACAGATAAGAGGAGGAGGAAACGGAAAGTTCCGGGGAGGTGAACGGGGTACCCCTGACCGCGCCTGCAGTGAACAATGAATGAAAAGCAGAAGGCCTGCGAGGCCCCGCTTACACAGGATGGAGCGGATGGGGGCCTGGCTAAGCAGATGGGGGATGAGGTCAGGTGGAAATTGAGGGCACTGACCTTGAATATCAAGAACACTTCTCTCGGAAGGTCTAGGAGAAATGCTGCTACCTGCCCTACCATATATCATGCTCTGCCTCAAGATGCCTGGACTAGAGGTTCAGTGGGAGTTGAAATCCAGCCCCATCTCCTCTCCTTGCTGGGCACTGCTGTGGCACTCCATGGACCCAGAGGGGACACCTTCCTCTAATTTGCACAAAGACACCATATGGACTAGCAGAGTCCCACAGATGGACCATGCCAGTGACTTACAGTGCACCTCATCTCTTTTTTAGAAAGGAATCAGGTGCAGCTAAGAATGGGGAAGAAGGAAGAAGGCAAGAACACAGGTTTTGGGATCTAAGTACAGAACATTTTTAACAGTTTGGCTCACTACTTGATCCCCAGCCCCTAGAGCAGGTTCTGGCAAAGAGTTGAATAAATATTTGTTGAATGAATGTATGAATATCCAGATGAGCGTTAAGGCGCGGGAACTAGGAGTGAGGGTGCTCCCAGATGGTGGTGGAGGAGCCCATCTGCCTTGGGCGGAAAGCCAAGTGAGCATCACACTTCCCATCCCTGCAGCCAGGAGAGTCAGACGCAGAGTGGGATGGGCTCCACAGCTCTGCCCACCAGCCTCAGGCCTTAGGTTGGCCTCAACTGGAGACTTTCACAGCTGGGGGCACTGCAGCAAACTGTCACGGTTTACAGAGTACAGGCTTTGAAGTCAGAAATCGCTGATGCCAGACCTAGCTCTCTGCACCAGTTCTCTGCACGGACCACTTAACCTCGCTGAGCCGCGGTTTCCTTATCCGTAACATGGGAAAGAAGAATGCGACATAACGGTTAAGATCTTCCACTCTTCATTTTAATTGCCTGCATTATAATCTCAACTCCACCACCTACAGCTAAGTCTCCCTGCACTTCAGTTCCCTCATTTGTAAAAAACAAGTAATAAATATGCTTCCCTCATAATGTCACTGTGGGTGTTCAGTGAGTCAATACAGGCACAGCATTCAAAACAGTGGGAGACTGTCCCCATCGATGTCCTTCTGACTGTGGTTGTGAGTGACTGTGGGGACAATGAACACGCTCAGCACAGTGCCTGCCTGCTGTAACTCCCTCCGCCTCCGCTCCTTTCATCCCCACCGTCATTATCCAATGGCCTACCCCTGCGAACTCACAGAAGATTCCATGGGACCTTCATGGCTTTTATCCCAAACCCCGCTGGTAAGGGAAAAGGACTCTCAGCCTTGCCTTTCCTGTTCTTTCCTGCCTTTTCCTGCTGGAAGGGCAGCAGGCCTTGGACAGACCCTGTCCTGGAGGGGAAGATGAGCTGTCTTCAGATATTGCTCTGTTTGTATGCCTCCCTTGAGATTCTGGGATCCCCACAGACAGGTTCTGGCTCAGTAGCACATCCCGAGCCTCTCACAGAGCATGGGTGGCCTAGTCTTATTCTTCCCTATTTTCAGGTGGGTATCTGTGGTTGTGGATTACATCACAGCACCAGGGTAGAGAAACTTCCTGCCCTGCTGGTTACTGTAGCTGTACTGGCCCCTGTGCCTGGCCCGTGACAGCCACTCAGACATGTGGCCCAGAACCAAAGGAAGGAATGCAACCAGTCCAAGGTCAGGTTTCAAGAGCTGAACTTTAACCAGCCCTACTCAACCCTGCCCTTTCCTTTTCTTACCCTACACTGTATATCCCCTCATGGCTCGGACCGTAAAGCGTCTGCCTGCAATGCTGGAGACCCGGTTTGATCCCTGGGTCAGGAAGATCCCCTGGAGAAGGAAATGGCAACCCACTCCAGTACTCTTGCCTGGAAAATCCCATGGGCAGAGGAGCCTGGTAGGCTGCAGTCCATGGGGTCGCCAAGAGTCGGACACGACTGAGCGACTTCACTTACTTACTCAACCCTACCCTCTCCTTTCCTTACCCGACACTGTATCTTAGACCTCAGCCGTCTGAGTCTTGTTTGGGTTTTGGGGTTTTATGCATTTTTACTGTAGTAAGAAACACAATCATGAAATTCACCACCTTAACCATTTCCAAGTGTGCAGTTCAACTGTCTTTAAGTACATTTGCTTTGCCGTGAAACACAACAATCTGAGTTTTAAAGTTCAATGGCATAACACAATTTATGTTTATTTTCTAAGCGCTCATGAACATGTTGAGTTGTTGACATTTTGAATCCCTTCTCAGGGTGGGGTTGTTTGCTCTTCTGCTAAAGTTTGTTATCCATTGTGCTAAACAGTCAGGCCTGTCTCATGTATATAAACAACAGGGAAAAAGCAGAAAGATCTCAGTTCTGTATTTTGGTTTTGCAGGGGCAGAACCATATGTTTATGAAATAGAGTATCTGATCCAAATTTCACTGCCCAGTAGGAACTAACTTTAGCAGAATTTTTCCAAATTCTTCACATCAAGAAAAAATACTCCTTTTCAAATTAGAGAAAACAATGTGAACACATTTTAATAGTTTTATTTTCTATTATTAATACTTTTCAAGTGACATAAAGGATTTCCCTTTTTTTGGAGTTTTTAGACAATTTTGATTTGATTACCTGAGAAAAACAGGCACATTGCAAAAAAAAAAAAATCAGCATGTAACAAATGTGATTAAGAAAGTAAAAATAATTTTAATTCCAACTGTATTGACGATCCTTGTTCACATTCTTCTAGACCTTCCTTGAAAATATTAACACAATCATACTTCAAATATAATTTGGTGCACATTTGTTTAGACTTTTCCCTTAATATTATACAGTATCTATTTTACAGTAGTCAGAGATTATATTATATATATATTATTTTGCAACTTGCATCTTTCATCTAAATATCTTGGGCACCTTTTCAAGTCAGAACACACAGATCCTTTTAAAAGGTTAAATAGTACCTCATTGTTTATACCGTAACCCATCTATCAAGTCCTGTACTAAGAGACGCTGGGCCATTTCTAGGTTTTGCTGTCTCTGTAAGGCCACAGTGAGCAGGGAGACCACCCCCTTGCCACAACTGTTGGTTCATGGTAGGAGACAGAGTCCTTGGGCTTTCTCTCCTGAGTTTTCCATTCCCTCGCCATTAGCATGACTCCCTGGGGCACCCTCTGGGTGGCTCTGAGCCTCCTTCCGGGACGATAAGTACTCATTGTCAAGTTCTGCCCTCAGGGCTGTTGTGAAGACTCCTGAGATCAGATTTGCTGAGCACTTTGCATTCCCTCACTAACTGGCGGTGTGTAAATATAAAATGTTTTCAATTTCAACAGAGTTGTGGGATTCCGTTCGGGAAGAAGTAAGGGCCCATTTAGAATGTCTGTGTTGGTGTAAACACACAGCTTGCCCTTTGTGTTCTAGGTGATGCCGTGGAGAGTGGAGCGCTCACCCATACTCAGGTCAGGCCCAGGTTACTTCCTGGGTGCCAGTGGCTGAAACGGGCGAGACACAGAGGCCACTGGTAGAGCGGCTGCCTATGGGCACCCCTCACCCAGGATTTTAGATGAAAATGAACACATTCTGGTTTTCTGAGCTCTTTTCAAGCTCCTCTACTCAACACTCAATTATTGAGCAGCTACCCTGAGCCTGAAGAGGAGGGAGAATCCAGCAGTGGATGCAGTCCTTGCCTTCAGGAAGCTTACGGTCTAATACACAACCTGGATGGCAGCTATGGCCTCCATTTCCTTTGAGATATGGAAGAGTTGGGGTCAAATTCCCAAATCCATGCCCCACGAAGCCGTGAGTCCTCCAGGTTGTGTGTAAACTCACTGTCAGCCCTGACCCCCTCTCCTCAGGATCCCTGCTTTCATGCGGACACCCTCTGTCTGTGCATCAGGGACCCAGGGTGAATGCAAGCTTCTCCTCTTATTCCACAGAGGCCCTCTTCTCCCTAGGCATTCTTGAGTTTAACCAACTTCACTAAATATTTTTGAGGTATATGGTAGGAATATATCACAGAAATTCAAATGATAACAACTAACACTTAAGTGTTGCATACTCCATGCCAGGCTCTGATGGAAGCACTTTACCTGATAACTCACATAAACCTCCCAATAATCCTATGAGGTAGATATCATCATCATCCCATTTCAAAGATAAGAAAAGAAAGCATAGCAGACACTGTGGCATCCTCCCTGTATCCCTGCAGCCCTCACCAATTCAGCACATGTCAGGCCAAGTTCCAGCTGCCACCATCACTGTTCGGAGAGCTTTCTCTGCCCACACGTGCTAGGTCAGGTGTCCTGGGGAATTACTGCCCTTGAAGGGAGCCCTCAGCCAACGCCCAACAGGCATCTGTAGTTAACTCCCCCGGCTCCCTTGCCCCTTGAGTGTGATAACTCAGTGGCACACGTTCTGCTGTTTCCCAGGGGGGTTCCCACTCCAGCTCTTCACAGTGGTAACTTGCTTAGTAACACACTTACTGGACTTCTTCCCTTTCCCATCTCATTTCCCCACGCATATTTCCTGGAATCACCTCCAAATACACTACATGCTCTCAGATGGTTATTTTAGGGTCTGCTCCTAGGGAAAGCTACATGGAGATGCTGAATTGTGTATCCAAGGTCATACAACTGCCTGGATTCAAACCCAGGGAGTCTCCTTTGGACTCTGATCTTTCTCACTATATCACACTGCCTCTCCACTTTGAATGGAATGCAAGGTATACCCATTTAAAGGCATTTCAGACCAAAATGGTAGAGCAGGAGACTTCAGCCTCTGTTCCCCACAAAGATCAACAATCATCCAGCTATCCATCAACAAAAATAGCTTTGGGAGAGCTCAAGAGTCCACTTAAGAAACCTCAGCAACACCGCCCAGCAAACACCTGAGAATAACCATACAAAAAGGGAAGAAAGCAACTTCATCCTGACTGCATCACCCCATCCCTTAGGCCTGCCCTGCTCAACATCAGGAATGAACTGCCCAGCTAGAAAGAGCCCCTGATGCTGGGCAAGGGAGAGCAGGGTGAACGACCAGCTCCTCCAGTCTTCCAGGAACTTGT